AGTATAAAAGTATGCTACTCTACATATCACATAATTTTATCGTTCAATATCTAGGGATTGTACTTGCGATCATTTATCAGTATTTGTTTATGTTAAGACGATGATTAAGTGGTTTGTCCATTTACAATCTCTATTTCAGCGACCAACCAGTGGAATACCTAATGCTAACTGTGATCCAAGACGAAATAAGTGCAAAATCCTGTCTGTCCGTATTTTAAAAATCTTTACAGTAACGTACCACATGAACAATAACAAGAGTATCAATAACAATAACATAATTGTACATTAATTTAGTAATGAAGCTACATAACCTATCGTGAATTTTCTTAACTACTCTCTCCTTTGCCAACGAATAGCCCAGAGTAAGTACATTTTTGTTACAGATTTGTCTTTAGGTACAAATATCGTAAATCTGAAAACATAGTACAGTTTGAACTACATGCTGCAACGATGGATTTTGATAACATAAATGGTAATAAACATAAGACGAATATACATTTTTTAATCAGCTTATTTAATAATCTGCATATTGTTTTCTTTCAGGAAACTTCCCTTAAACGAACTTTATGCGTAGAGGAGATCAAACATAATATGAAGGCATGTTTAATGTTCCAGTAGAATTGAATTACAAATACCCATTAAAATTCTAAACTCGTTCTCTCTACTATATCTCTAATAAGTATGGCCAATATTTAAGCAATTTTAGCAACACAACAGTATTTTTCATCACACTATAGTTGTGCAAATACGCACATTCTTCGGTTGAAACAAAGAAACGAAGTTTTTCACAAACTAGGTAAATTTGTGATTTTATCTATGGTTAATATTTAAACAGTATATGAAAAAGTCTACAATAAGGCTACAGTAATAAATCAACTGGTTAAAAGCAGCATCAGTTTCAAAGGCAGTTCAATTTATTGTTACTTTTGCAAAATATATCTTGCAACAGCAAATCCAATCATGTGACAGGACTTTTTCGACCGAAAAACACAACTTTTCCGGACTATTTTGCCAAACACGTGTGAGCCTCAAGAATGCAGTGATGAATCTGCCCGGCCATAAAAAGCCAGACGGCTAGACTACAGACTGCAGTCAAGGATGCAATGAGATGCAGGTTGTACCGGGGCCCGACTAGCGTGGGCCGGGGCCCTGCATGCTCGGTTTCGCAATTGCACTGGTCTGGCGGCCCCGCCCATTTCCGTACCCCATAGACCACCTGAAACCACGTTTAACTTGTCAGTCCTGTACCTGGTCACGACCTCCTTCGTACATCCTCGCATCCGTTTAATCCTTCTTCACCTGCCAGAGGTAAATTGAGAGGGGTGCTCATGCTCACAGTATGCTTCCAAGGCCGATCCATCTGTACTTGAAGTCATTATTTAAATTGTTCCAAGTAGGGAGTACCATGACTGAACCATTTGATATGTCGTTAATTTTGAAGGAGATTCCCAGATTTGATTTCGAGCACGATCATTCCCAAGCTCCGCACAACGGGTAAATGTAGTATTTGGCATAAGATTTCCATGCTATTAATTTTTTTTTTTTTTTTTATTTGTTTAAATACCTGAGTGAATATTTAAATATCACTTCCAGCTACTGTTTCATGTAGTTAGCCTTTGAAGCACTAGTAGTAAATACTATAATTGTTTAAACGCTTACCTCTTATAACCGGAGTGATTCCTTTCGTCCTGATTAAGTTACCGGTTTCAACTCTCAATGTAAGTATTCATCGGGTTTAGGGTGTAAATTGCGTTCATTTGGACACGGTCAGTTTTTATAAAACAGTAACATTCGAAAATACACACATGAAATGGACAGAAACACGATGACACACCTATTTGACCAAGTGTTTAAACCTGATGAAGACTTCCACTAAGATTTAAAACGTGCTACAAAATCTGCCCGACAGTTCAATGTGTTTTACCACGATTATTCTGTATTTCAGTAGGTAGTAAAATTGTGACCTTATTTAAGCTTTATTGAAACATACCTTTATTGTAGGCACCTTTTGATGCATACCTCTTTCTGAAAAAAGTGCATAAATGCAGCAAAGTAGATATTTAAATAATTTTTTGTATCAATTATAATTAAAAAATTAGAATACAATCATAACGTTTTGTTTTAAATACGCGAACATATTGTCTTAATTAGTAGTTGAAAAGAAGTTTGGAACAATAACTTTTCCAATCTAACAATACCGCCTTAAGAACTTAAATACTGGCTGGTTGTTTAGTCAAGAAATATTTTAGATACATATCTTAAATTTTAACCTGTTTAACTTGTTAAAGAATTTTTAACAGATTTTGGAAATGTTTAAATCAAAGCTAATGTTACTTTCCCTTATCCACAAATGCCTTCTTCTAGAGATATGCAGTAATATTTGCATTCATAGGCCCAATTTCTCAGCTTAATTAATAGTAACTGCGGATTTGCCTATGTATTTTGATTATATTGAATTTATGTGCAACTTGTAACAAGGCATTAGATTTGGAAACCCAATTGATTACAGTTTAAATTTAAAAGCAAAATATATTTTATTTATAACCTGTACTCTACAACAACCTTTCTAGTTCACGAGTAAACAATAAACACCATACTTAATATGCTGTGACATTTTTTTTAATGTACAGTGTACAATACAAATGTGTTTAAAAATTGTGTGTGTGTTTTATGTTTGGTTATAATTTTTAAAACATACAGCTTCATTTACCATAAAAATTGTCTAATTAAACAAATAAAATATATAACAAAAGCATTTACACTTCTTAGTCTATTATAAAAACAAACACATATTTTTAAGCAGGGTAAGAAAGGCTATGGATTGGGGACTGTGGTGTTCAAATTCAGGTGGCATAACCGAAGAGTGAAGTGCATACTAAAACTCACCCTTGTGAAAACCATAAGGAAGGGATTTAGTTGATATCAAACAAACATTAAAACATGGCTTAGATTAATTTGAAAGACTGCGAAATCTCAAAAATGTAATCACGAGAAAAAGTATTCTTAATTACCATATTGTACTTTTTTGGAAAGCCTCTTTTATCTCTGTTTACCAACCTTATCAGTACTTGAATAGTGTTTTCCATTTTTTTTATCCATGCATTCTGGATTATTAGTTTATTTTCTCATTTTCTTCCACTGCAAGAACTGCAAGGATTTTATTATTGAATAAAAAATACACGTTTAGCTAACTGAAACAAAAGTTCCACTCATTGACGTCTAAGATACAATATCTAAACTATACACTCTTTCCCTTTTAAAGAATGTTGTTACAATAAATGAAAAGTAAGTTACACTAATTTTTGCAAAGAATATTTTTCATATGTTAACTATGACCTAAAATTTAAATCAATTATTCTAGAAATAAATGTTAATTGAATTTTTGTTTGCTTAGCTAGTCAAAATGTATCGCAACAATTATGGGTTTGCATAAAAAAAGGTTTTTGTTCAACCAAGTAACTTTAGGAACATATATTTTTGAGGCCAAAAACTCTACCTTAGTGCAAATACTTATATTTTCATTAAATATAGTTTATTTTCAGAGCTTCATTGTTCAATATTATTTACCAATTGCAATTTTTTTTGTTTTTAGAACCTCTTTCAATTTATTTCTACATTATATAATATTTGGAGCTAAATGGCATACACGTTACAAATACATCTCGGATTGATTTTCGATCTGATTTTAAATTTTGTGTCAAAAAAATACTGTATATCCAACCAGATTTTTTTATTTTTTATTTTTTTTTCATTTTTTTAATATACTTATTTTTACTAGTCAACGGGCATTTTTCCAAGTTAATTAATGTTTGCCTTTTAACTATGTCTAGTTTAGATTAACATTTGCAATATTGTAGAGAAGGGTGGACATTCGCTATTGCGCTGTGTTTAGTTACTGTAGCCCCACTCCCCGCCCTGTGCGTTTCTCCCTCCACTTTTCCGTTTCCCCCTATCCTACCTATTTAGTATTTACTATTTAACAACCCCTATTCCATTTATCTATTTATTTCTTCCATCTCCCACTACCCATAGTTCCGCGCTGCCAAACCCGTGCGATTGTGAGCAAATATGAAATCAATACCAAAATGTCACATTATTCAGTCGCCTTTCACACAGTTCTCCTTGGCAACAATAGAACAAATCTAAATATTTTTGTATTTATTATTATATAAATATAATTTTTTTTTATAATTGGCGGGAAATATCTCAGGTGTTTCAGACTTATTACAGCGTTGGATGAAGACTAACAGCAGTTTGTGTTTTGGGCTGCAGAGAGGTGCAGAAAAGTGAAATTACCTGCCGAACTCTCTTAGATCAGCCAGCTGTGTCTTTATTTCCTTTTGAACAATTAAAACGTCAACTTTCAAATATATATAATCCTGAAAATCTGAAGTCAAAAGAAAATTTAAACAAATGTTTTATTTAAGTCCATTTATGCTATACCTACTGTTTACTAATTTGTCTATTTTCAAAACTAATATCTTTTTACAAGTAAAAGTTAGTTGTGTCTAGTATCTGAGTAAAACATATATTTTTTGGGGTAAAGAAACTTGTATTGAGACAATTATGACATTTTTTATTCATACATTACTATATAAAAGGGTAACATTGTTTAAGGGTACTTCTACCATGGCTCCTGATTATCTGGGTTCACCGATTGCCAATGACTTAGCTATGTTATAACGCCGTAACACAATGGTTATTACTGCAAATTCACCTATGTAGAATGAAAGATAGTACTATCAGGTGTGGGTTTATAGTTACAGGGTTACAGGAGAACTCTCTTTACTAAAAGTCGTCACACAAAAGATAATAATCCCTAAAACCCTTCGACTCCAAGACATCTCCAAACACACCCAACGAGCATGCGTCAGCCTCCTTAAGCAACAAGTGTCTTGGTAAAAATCACTCTCGTTTTCGCGCCGTTTTCGCGATTCGTATTAACAGCGAAAATAGAGAGAATGTAGAACGTAGGGGTGGATGTGATGGATGATGTTTGTAGGGTGGGGACGGTTTGCATGGTTTTGCGGGGGGGAGACGCCATACCCGTCCATGCACCCACCATAGTGCAGCGAGCTGCATGGAACAAGTGCATCGCGTTCTCGTCCTGTAAATAGTCAACCGGTCTCGGTGGCGTCGCTTCTTCAAGTAATCTCTTTTTCCGTCACCTCTGGTCTTGAGTCGCGCCCCTGTGCAATATTGGATACTTACCTGGCTCATAAGTCTGTTTCACGTATTTGTGTTAGTTAGTAGTGAGCTTTTGGTGTTTTAGAGTGTTGTGTTAACTTTAAACTACTTATAAGGATTTTTGGGTTTTTTGGAATTTTTTCAGAAATTGTTGCATGTATCTACTTTCAAAAACTAATATTTAAAATATTAAAATTTAAAGTATTTTTGATGATGTAGCAAAAATTGTCCAGTGAATTATTAAAATAGCTTAGTAAATTGACTTTAAATACATGTTATCTACTAAAAAACACCAAAAGCTCTTTTCTTTAAGGTTAAGTGTACTAGAATGAAACAATTTAGTTAATACTATACAGTTTTATAGGTAACCAAGATTGTAATTAAAAAAATTGCTTGTTTGTACAGTTTATAATTAAATAATTTAATTTAAAGATAAATTGCCAATTTTTTTAGTAAGAAACAGTCCCAATATAGAGTTCAACAGTAATTTTAATATATTCACCTAAATCAGGAGTAATTAATCCTAGACAAAAAAAATTGAATGAGTAAAAGATTTCTTTTAAGGCTAATTCATTCTCAGTTTTATCTAGTAATATAATAATCTAAGTTAAAAGACAACTACTTATTACTTAGGGTATAGAAATAAAAGTTGGGTTTTAGAGAAGTCTAAAAACCATGAAATGGCTTTAAATTATATAGTTAATCAGTTTAAGCTGTATATTAACACTTTCCAATTAAAAATTTGATTTTTTCCCTCCTCTCCCTTAAAAAAAAATTAAAAATTGGATTTGTAAACTTTACAAGTGCAATAAAGTAAAAAATCTAGTGCAATACAGTTAAAGATTAAGATTAAAAAACATAAAAAATAGATTGGCTCCTAAAAAATATGTTATATTTCCAAAACAATTAAATTTGTTTTTCATTAGTGTTTGTTAGATAATTATCTTCTAAAGTTAGCCATAAAAACTCTGGAAATAACAAATAGACTCTAGGTAAAGACTTGTGATTTTTTCAAACTAGTTTTATGTATGTTACATTATAAGTTCTTAATTTGTGTAGTTATAATATTACTGGCGTACATTGTGGCTAAAACTAATCAACTTTATTTGTTTTCTGATTGAAAACTGAAAATATTTCCCCGTATTATATTTTTCTAAATTTTTTTTTCTTTTTAAAAATGTATTTTTTATTTATAAAAATATTTTTTTATTAAAAAATAATTATATGTATTATTAATAACCTTAAGAAACCATCCATAAGAAGCTTAAAATAATGAATTATTTTTGTTATATTTTTTTACTTCCGTGGCAATAATTGTTGGACTAATCTCATTCTGTTATACTTTTTGTTATTAGTTTTATTTAGTATTAGTAATTAAATTGACAAGAGATATCCTGTAAAGCAGTATGTACTGAGGAACGCTTGCTAAATAAAGGCATTTTTATTTATTTATTATTTATTTATTAAATTTGCACTATAACTAATTAAATGGCTAGTAACTAACTTAAAATATAAGATAAAACAAATTAATTAATTTTGAAACAACACAACACTGGTTTTAATTCATAATCAATTGTGATGTCAATTTGCATAAAACAAGTGTAATGACAATTTGGCCGGAAGAAATAATAATTCAAACGAAACATTAATTCATTGTGGAATTCGTGATCGTGTCAATCAAACAAATCTGCAATACAAATATGAATGCGTTAGGGTCGTTATTTTTTTCCGGTCATCAATGCAAAAAATGCAAGTGTAAAATGAACAAGGGGTGGACCCTCCTGTCCTAGGGTAGGGGATGACTCTGAAATGTGATGCACTTGTTTAACAGTTCATTAAACCGGTGATGCAATTTAATTAACTTCTTATTTTTAATACTAAACCACAATCTTTTATTCGATCTTTTATTAAGTAAAAAGAACTCCTTCAACAAAACTACACATCCCAAAGTAACAAAACATAAAAATTAAAATGTACTTGTTCAAATTAAATATTAGAAAATAATTGTAATTTTATCCAAAATAATTTAAAGTAGATGGTTTTTATCTTTGGGTAAAAAATACAAAAAAGTTAATAGGCTCTGTTTGTGTAGCCCAAATTTGATAATTAAGACTGGTGGTTTTTGAGAGGTTGACTATAAAAAATCACATTAAAGTCATAAATATTGAAAAAAATTAAAAAAAATATAATTTAACAAAGTTAAATACCCCGAAGCAACAAAAAAATTCATATGGTGCAAAGTCAATATTGTTTTAATTTTTTAATGCATATTATTTTTTCCAACAAATTTTTGAGTAGATGGTTGTTATCTATCGGTAAAAAGCCTCTTTTTATATATCCTAAATTTATTAATCGAATTTAGAGTTCAGGTGAATTTTTAAAATTAAATTAGAGTCATAATTCAATAATAAAAATAATAACTAAATTTTTTTTAAATATACATCCATAACAGTTAACTAGCCATTTTTCAGAGTTAAGTTATTTACGTGTGGAAAAAATATACGTTAGATTAACTAACAAAATAAGTCTGATTTTATTATTTAAAAATACACAATTTTGGAGTAATTTATTCGGAAAAGGTTTCGAAAGCTAAACTTAAATCCTCTCTCTGCCAATATTTACTGAACCGATAAAGAGGGGTTTAGCGATGTCCACTCACTTTTACTTTCACCCTTTTTTAATTAGCCGGATAATTGGGCTAATTATCGCCCAGTCGAGTGAAATAAAAGCTGCAAAGCTGTGGCGAGGGACAGATTTTGTTACTGTGACTGTTATCTGTGCTAACACCACTTAGCATTGATAGATTTTTTATTGATAGGTTTTGGCCAATGAGAATTTATTAACTATCCATCGTGTATACACCTAAATATCCCTCATCTCTCAGTATGATTTTTTTCTTAGTTTCTGTTATTTTGAGTTTTATGTAATTGCAACTAGTTTTAGGTTAGTTTTAAACAGATATTCTGAGGGAAACGTTTGATACAGTATTTAAAAAACAAATTTAGTTTATTGAAAAATTTAAATTTGATTTTTTATTTGTTGCTGATTATTACAACAATTTTATTTCTGTTAATTTTTATATCGAAACAAAGTTGACACGAACTAGTGTAATTTTTCATTACACAAAGTTTCCCTCAGAAGTGGTGATGCTGGTATAAGTAGCAATATTGCAAGAGGGGGTGACTAGGGTCCAGGGGATGGGTGGGGTGGGCTGGTCCAGAGGGTGGGAGTTACTACCCTCTACCACCAGAGCACTCTATCGTCATGTCCACAGGTGCGATGGTGCGGACGGTGCGCCGGACAGCGGATCATCAGTGAATTATGAAAGAGAAACATCGTGGCAGATTGTCACGGACCTAAGTGGCGTGTTGTGTGGCGAGTGGGACAGAGTGGGACAGAGTGTCGAGGTCTCAGTATGACCGGCCCGGGACAGCATATGTAACCTAGTGACAGTTCGCGACAGTACGGGGTAGCGTTTACCCCTAAAGACAAAAACGACCCAGATGCAGTAAACCACTAAGCAACCACCCTACAGGCTCCAAACCCTTCCCTTTACATACCATCCCTTCCTACAAATATATCGGGCCCTTAATCCAACTGTTCAGTAAGCACTCCACACGGCATCCTTCCACAATCATCAACAACAAAAAGTTCCCCCTAAATTCAAAAACAAAACGGTTACTCGGTGTTCTAAAGTTGTCAAAAGTATATGTTTTATGAAAATACTCCATGTGCCTCGAATATTTAGAAAGAGTTTAAAATTTTAAAGTATTTTCCGAACGTCCGAAGTTTAGTGTTGTTAATTTTAAGGCCTACTTTACAAACAAAATCGTGTTATTGTGGAAACTGTATTTTGAACCGTACGTTTAAGATTAGTTATAGGCTACTTGTGATACAACGGTTGTGATATTTTTCTAAGTTACGTACTCGAACTATGAACATAGTATTGTTAAGTGTCTGCCACAAGTGTTTGCTGTTTCTTCACTCGCTGATCCAGCATTCTCTACCTCTGACGGTATGCACCAATATACATTACCTCTGTATGTGTGTGTGTCCTGTAGCTAGTGCCCTTTAAACGGTAGCTGTCTCATACAACTCTAAATTACTCCTAAAACCAACAAAACAACAATTACTTTAAATATTTCATTATAAGTAAATAAGCTCTAAGCAACCCTTTTGATTTTAAAACAAATCAGAGTGATAGGTTTTAAAACTTAAGTGTCAGACAGCCACTGTGGTTCCTTTAGAGTTAAGTCTTTGGAATAGCTTGTAGCCTAGTTCTAATAATAATGGCAGGTCCATTCACTTTCGTTCATTTACTTCAAGGTAAGCATATGGGAATACAGTCCATTTAATAATCTAAGGAACATTTTTGAGATTTTCGAGCTAAGAACATTCGCTTCAGCACGTGTTATTTTGGGCCGGCGCAGTCCGGGCAAGTTACAACCTGCGCAAAGGGGATCTCCCAAGAGTCAAAGGACTTTGAAACCTAAAACTAAATGAACTCGATTTTTACAAATTATTACAAGTTTGTCAAGCTACTTAATATAGCTATCAATGAAAACTTTTAACACAATTACGAATTCGCTTAACTCTTGACACTCCAAGATTCATTTCCAGTTTTCCTAGCACGCTTACTAAGAACAACTTGTGTTTTGAACACTTTGGATCTCTTTGATAAAGACTTAGAAACTTCGGTACAACACTTAAAACGCTGCGAAGATATCAAAAGTGCGACTTCCACACGCCAAGTGTGTCTGCGTGTTTGGACTTGCCATTTGAATTAAGTGTTACTCTAGTGCATTACAGTTTAAGGTTCATAAGTTCTCATACACGCAATGCATATGAAGATTTTAGATCGTTGTGTCATGCCGGGACGTTAGGTATTAGATACTGAATAGGTGTAAGGGTAGTTTGTCATTGTTTTATTGCATTCCACAAAATATACTATTTAAGAATAATCAAAATAATACGTTAAAATCTCCTACGACTTTAAATATCTGAAAAAATAAAATCTGCATTCTGATTTGCCTTCTTTTCTCTTCCAACTACATATTTTATGGGAGATAGCCAGACCTAAAAGTTAAAACGATTAAAAGAATGCATCGATTATAATAGCTAGATAGAGTTGAAACTTCAAAGTTTTGGAGACTCAATAGCAATGTGTTTTGATTATGGACTCAAAACATACTGGCGGACAACATCATATGGACTACTAATACAAAATGAATTTTAGTGCAGGGAGTTCCACATAACAGTAAAGATTCATCTCGCCTGACAAGTCTCTCCTTTTTAGTTCAGTAGATAGGCAAACACTTAAGATGAACTGAAAATCCAGCATTATAAAATTGCTAAAATTCTTTGGTGATCAGATGTATGAAACCCAACTGTGTCTAGAACATATCTTGTATCCCGCTCTCTAGCTCGCGCTCACTACAGGACTATGCATTTCTAAAATAAACCGAGGTTTCTTGTTTTTTTTTCGCACAAGACCTATTGACGAATCTAATGGTGAACTACTAGTGTCTGATTCACCTAGAACCACCAACCATTGATTTGACGAATCCATTTGAACCATCTAAGGGAATTTAAAATCCCATTTTAACATGAACGCTTGCATAGATTTTTCACACGATCATTCTTCATTCCTTTAGTACAACATCTTACGTTATTAGGAATCCAATCCATCGTACAACTATAAGGTCAGATTTCATCTGCATGGTTTTGCTTTTCTTAAACTATTTATTTCAGTGGCCATTGGGATTTGAACTTGACGATTGCAGTCTCAACCTTTTACCCAAAGACAATTACATAGGTTTCAAGCATTGAAACATGGATACAAATACATGGATACATGGATGGGGAACATGGATAAATTATTGATACTCTTCGAGATTAGTAAGCCGTTATTAAAACTGATGACTATACCTTCAAATAAATATGAAATACTATGCTTAATTACTTGCCGTTAAACGTTATTTACATTTTTAGAAATTAAATTGTTAAGTCGTAGGTGATTTTCTCGACCTAATTAAAATTTTTTTGTTTAACAAGAAATTATTTTTCACTATTGATCTCCACTTATAACTGCAAGATATAAATGCAAATATTTAATTATGAATTCCTCCTTGTACTCAGTTTGTTATTTGTTTTGTAAATATTTAAACTGCTACATTGTACGAACAAATTTGTAAGAAAGTACACAAGTATAGCCTTCAGAGGAGGAGCTACCATATCTGAGAAAGATTTTCATTTTGTAGGGACGGTTATATTTTGTTTTAAAAGCCACTAGCTCAAAGTTTGTTAAAATCTGGAATGTTAACCCGCACAATAACCCGAACAGATTTTAAGAGCTATTAATTGATTCATAAAAAATGCGAGTCTTCAAAAATGCATTGAAAAAATATTGGTTAAACCTAATTTAGTGCCAAAGCATGTATACGTCTGCAATACAAAGCACTTTAATTTCCTGAAACGTGACTTCAAAGGTCAATAAACATTCTGTTGGTTCTCTAAAAGTATCCATTATTAATTACTTATGTTTACACTTTTCTACATCGGTCAATCATTATATTTAAATACACATGGAAATATACCGTATTTTTCAGGTAGCTGACATCCACAGTTCTATTTAATATTTTAGTTACACTCCAACACAGTTCGAAGTAATCGTGGTATAGGGTTGGTACCAAACCCATAATGGCGTCGCAACCCGGTCTTTTTGCGCATGCGCCACCAAAACCTTGTGTGACGCTGTTCCCAGATGATTTCCAAAGTAGTTTTCACATAGTAAACGTTTTTCTAGTATCGATAAATATACTGAAAATGTTCTACGATGATGATTTCTTCCCTAAAGTACTTTATTGAATCAATCAAACCCTATCCATAGATTATTTAACTTGATGAAGCTGCAAACTCTATAATAAACTGTGACACTGCAAGACATGTTCAATCTTCTAAACGCGTAAAACTGTTTCTTCATTTACTTTGAAGAAGTATTCATCCGTTCCGAGGTTAGGATTCGCTGTGGACACTAAACTGACCTCTTGAAGTTGTAAACAGAATAGAATGTTTTCTGGTTTCTTTTACAATTCGTTGCAGAAAATAGCCTTTTACATGCCATAGCAACACTCTATAAGCTATCAACTATTCTTTTAGGTCTACAGGATTTGTCTTGAAAAGTATTTCGTGTTTTTATGATTTAAAATTCTAAATCCGCATATTGAGGTACTTACCTGGTTTTCGTATTTTTAAAAACGTACCATAGTGAGAAATATGACAACTTGGCATACATTTTGTTCTTAAACAGTGAGTATTAAACTTCAACTTAATTTAGAAAGACTAAATACATTAGGAATATAAAGAAACCCTAACTATATAAGGATTATGAAAGACACACTAAATATAATGAGAAAAATGTGAAAAAGTACTACAATCAAAAGGGCTGTTAGTTAAGTAGTATCATAGATGAACTGACAATTGTTTATGGTGTAGATACAAAAAGTACAAACTAAACATTTTAGGAACAAAAATAGAGTCGTGAAGTAAATTGAATCTTGTGTTAAAAACGTCAATCAAAAACAATCGTGATTACACACGATTAACTTTTGGAAACTTATTAATTACTATTGACATGCATCATGAAATACAAATATTTACTGAATAATGTGTCACAGGATTGTCTTTGTTAAATTAAATTAGGTACTAGAAAACTTTAACCCTAATGAACAGTTGTTTGTTCTTGTTTATAATTAAAACTAAATCAGTTCCAATATCAGTTAGTTGTGCAAGAAAACAGGTAACATAATGCTTTTGGACCGTCGGCTTAAAACAATAGAGGGCTACACACATTAAAATGTTTTAAAGAAACATGCCATTATGGTGGTTTACTGTTCTCCTTGGTCGTGAATTCCTAGAAAGGCAGAGAGAAGTGCTTTGTTACACTATAAACAATGCAAGCATTTATGATGAATATTAATTCTGAAATAGTTCAACCACATTTTAATCTTTGTTGGTTTTATATTACACTACGCAATGAATACGTGATCTACAACCGTATCTTACTACTTGATTTCCAAGTAGCAAAGGTTTAAGTCTCAAATGAGAACGTAGGGAAAAGACAAAAATGTAAAGAATGAAACAATCGATTTTTTGCGTCATGATCTGATATTATTTTCAGTTTCCAATTTTGGCAATCCTTATAGTCTTAAACAACTATTTTTTCATGTAATGTCAATTAAGAACAAGTAAATACCTCATTAATACTCCTCGTTGCTTAATTTTATTTGTAGTTTTGTTTGATTACTTTAATGAATCTTCAATCAGAATTAAGTTTCAGATTGTGTTGTTACCCAATTCGGATTCCACTATAAACTGTAGGTCCCTCAGTTGCCATTAGCTGTATGGGCTATTAATTAACAGCTGTGTCTAAGGAATGTCGGCCTTAGTCACTAACAAGACTACAAGATCGCGCCACTCATCCTACACTCATCTCCATTCATACTTGGCTTAAAATACCTACTATGGTCGCCATTTCATTGAACAGTATTAACAATCGAAAGTTTTGTTTACCCTATGTTGTAGGAAAATAAAACAACTCCTTTTGCCCTTCTTTAAGTTATTATAGATAACATCCTACTAAGTTATTATCGCACAAAGCTTTAAAATCCAACAGGTTAAAAATATCAAAATTCATGATTAAGGTATGATTAGCTTGTGGCAGTTGTAAATTGATTGCAAACTTAGATAGAATCGCACCAACATTAACACGTAGGCCTATAGGACAGAACTCCTGAAAACCTGAGGTTAATACCTGTCAACACCAATAACAGCTATGTTGTATTATAGTAGTTCTGAGTGAGCCGTGAACTGTAGGTACAGTAATTCAAAAATAAATCGCGTCTGTATCGAAAGCGCCAACAAAATTATGTAATTATTCCTCCCAAAAATTCATTTCACATAAATTTTGGTTGATGCAAAAGCTACGCGGTTATGACGTTTTGTGTGACAATCTAA